AGATGGAGTCTCGCTCTGTCACCGGGCTGGAGTGCAGTGGCATGATCTTGGCTCACTGCAACCTCTGCCTCCTGGGTTTAAGTGATTCTTCTGCCTCAGCCTCCCGAGTAGCTGGGACTACAGGCGTGCTCCACCACACCCAGCTAATTTTTGTTTTTTTAGTAGAGACAGGCTTTTACCATGTTGGCCAGGCTGGTCTCAATCTTCTGACCTTGTGATCTGCCCGCCTCAGCCTCCCAAAGTGCTAGAATTACAGGCATGAGCCACCACGCCTGGCCAGTCTTGTTCATTTTTAAACATTTGCCATGGGGGAAAATATGTGCTATTAATATAAAATAATCTTTTCATTTTTATTGAAGTTACTATTTCTTGACAGAACATTTCATTTCAATAACTAATCAGCTTACTCTTTCCCAGAGACCTATTTTAACAAGCTAATTTTAACAAATGAAAAGTTGCAGTATTTAGAGCTATAGTCATCTGTCATGTATCCATCATAAATAGGTACATTTTATTCTGTCATAGAAGTTTTCCAAAAACAATCTATGGGAGAGAGATAAAAATTGGTTGGCATGAACTTGTTAATCATGAATATAGGTAAACTGACAAACCTAACCTAAGAAACACATCGCTGGAGCAAAAGACAAATTTTGAATTTATGGCTCTAAGTGGATCTGTTTTCTTGTCAGATAAAAGAATGAGATGACATCTATGGGTTCATAATTTTTTGTTTCTTTCAAATGCAAAGAAGGCTGTGGGTTGGGACCTTTTGAGATGAACCCTGCCTCGTTGCATATCAGAAGAAAAGTATGTTCATCTCTAAGAATTAAGGGGCATGGACAACAAATGAATCCCCTATTTATTTATTACTAATGAGAACAATTATCCCCTTCCAGCTCCTCTTCTAGCTCATGATAATGTGCTCTTTAGAGCATTGGCGCTCCTTCTGAACATTCTTTCCTAAAGGTGGGAGGTGATTGTTTCTTTCCTTCCTTCTCCTTACAGTTCCCTAAATCTAGAGTGTTTCTACCAATTTAGACTAGCTCTACCTCAGAAACTATCAGAGAAGAAGGCTGACAACCTGTCAGTGGTACTCTGTACTATTGTAAAGAACATGTTTTAGGGTTAATTTATTATAGAGAAGGTGGAGGAGTTCTGCCCTATTTAAAGCCAAACTCTGGAACTGAGTTTTGATGCCTGTCCTTTTCCACCCTTCTGGGAAGCCACACATCGATTATGCCTATTTCTCCTCATTACTTATTTCTCATCAACTGAACCCTTCTCCACATCACTTAAACATGCTCTCATCTCATCAAATTTAATCCAAACTAATCCAAACAAAGTAATACAAAATCCACATTTGACCTATATTTCCTTTACTGCCTTATCCCTTTCTGCATTTACAAAATCAAATTTTTATTTGTTTGCACTTCCATCTCCATTTCCTCACCTCTGCTTTATTCTGGTTTCTGCTATCTAACCCAAAAATAATGTCCTCCACAGGGCATTATTATTTCTAGTTTTGTTTGTTTGATTGTTTGAGATGGAGTTTTGCTCTTGCTGTTCAGGCCGGAGTGCAATGGTGCGATCTCACCCTTTGCAGCCTCTACCTCCTAAGTTCAAACAATTCCCCTGCCTCAGCCTCCCAAGTAGCTCAGATTACAGGCACCCGCCACCACGCCTGGCTATTTTTTTGTATTTTTAGTAGAGATGGGGTTTGGCCATGTTTGCCAGGCTGGTCTCGAACTCCTGTTCTGAGGTAATCTGCCCACCTTGGCCTCCCAAAGGATTACAGGTGTGAGCCACTATGCCTGACCTTAATTATTATTACTATTTTGAGACAAGGTCTCACTCTGTTGCCCAGCCTGGAGTGCAGTGGCATGATCTCAGCTCACCGCAACCTTCACCTCATGGGCTCAGGTGATCCTCCTACCTCAGCCTTCCAAATAGCTGGGACCACAGGCATATGCCCCCACTTGGCTAATTTTTGTATTTTTTGTAGAGACAGAGTTTCACCATGTTGTCCAGATTGGTCTTGAACTCCTGGGCTCATGCAATCCACCCGCCTCAGCCTCCTAAAGTGCTGGGATTACAGTTGTGAGTGACCACGCCTGGCCCTCCACAGGGCATTAAATGCTTGAGTACCTCAAGTCTGGTCTCCAGGTCTTTTTCTTTTCTTACTCTAAACTTGATCTTAGGAAATCTCATCTAAACCAACAGCTTCGTTTATACTGACAACTCTCAAATGAATACTTCTAGGGCAGACTTCTTTGGTTTAACACAAATCGAATTTAACACAAAATGGGGTTGGTTTGTTTCCATATCTATGTTTGTTCTAAACTTTCCTGGAAATGGAAAGTAATCCCCATCCACTTCACCCAACTCCAAAGAAGAGTAAAACAATTAGAAACACTACCCCTTCAATCAAGCCCCAAGTCCTGTTGATTCTACCTCCGAAAAAAAAATCTCACAAATCTTTCCTCTTCTCTTCATCTCCATCATTGTCAAAAATAGTCTCTCAATATAAGTCTTTTGTCCAAGAGAGCCTTTTCACTTCCATAATAAAGAATTAAATAACTAGCACTAAAGAAGGCTAAGTATGGCTCTCTGGGCTTAAAACAATAATAACACTGGCCAGACACAGTGGCTCAGGCCTGTAATCCCAGCACTTTAGGAGGCCAAGGTGGGCGGATCACGAGGTCAGGAGTTCGAGACCAACCTGGCTAACATGGTGAAACCCCGTCTCTACTAAAAATACAAAAGTTAGCTGGGCATGGTGGCATGCACCTGTAATTTCAGCTACTAGGGAGGCAGAGGCATAAGAATCACTTGAACCTGGGAGGTGGAGATTGCAGTGAGCCAAGAGTAAGCCACTGCACTCCAGCCTAGGTGAAAGAGTAAGACTCTGTCTCAAAAATAAATAAAATAAAAATAATAAGAACACAATTTTTTCCATTGTCACTTTATTGCAAGATGGTAGAATTAATTACAAATTTAAACTATAACCTGGTAATCTTTAGTCAGGCAGCAAGTTTTTATAGAGGCAAACTGCTTATACAGAAGTGATCATTGAACAACTCAAATGCAGAGTAAGAAGGATAAGAACTATCTGACTGGCCAATAGAGATTTCGTTCTCTCGCTATTTAAAACAAACTTTTCATTTTTAGGAGAGGTAAACCGTAACTTCAGTAGACACAAATACAGAAAGATTTTGTCAAATAAACAAGTTTCCATTTAGTCAGTCAACTGTTTCTAGCTGTGTCAATTGGAACAGGTACATTTACATAACTGGCTATGCTTGAGCCTTCTTTGCCAGACTTTAGGTCAGCAATGCACTTGGCAATTGTCTCCTTTTCCTGTTGTACAGAGATGCTCTGCACCACATGCTTCTCCACCCAATTTATCATGTGCTCTTGTTCCTTTCGACGCATCATGTTCTGCACAGATAGATGATAGTCCAAGCGATTCTTTAGTTTTTTATATACTCTATGCAGTCGTTCCCAGTAAGTAACCTCCAAAGCTATGGCAGTGTTATTCCTCTGCACATCAAAAAGGTAATGGTGCTTCTGAACCAGTGCCTGCTGTGCCTTTTCCGTATCAACTGTATCCTAGATTTCTTTGATGAAAGCCTGCTTCGCCTTTTCTAGTTGGGCAAGTTTTTGCTCATTGAGTTTATCAGCAAATTCTGCAATGGAAGGACCTTATTTTTTTAACTCCATAGATAAATAAACCTACTACTGATAGGGTAGTGAAGGTCTCTGTGGTAAACACAAAGATTTCTTTGGATAAAGCATTCAAGATAAGCCCAGTTCCAAGCACACAGGGTCCTGTTACACCAGTTTTAGGTTAAAGATATTGGAAGAATTCCTCAGGAATCAATCCATGATGAACTTTTCCTTCATATTCAGGAAGAGGTGGTACAGGAGCAAGGTGGGGCTGCCCTGTGTAAAAGGTCCTTGTTGATTGCAATATCCCTGGACCTGGGAAGGCTGCATTCTTCAGGGAGCGGGCTGCAGTGGCAGCAGCAGAAAGTACCACCCGGGATGGCATGGTCAGCGAAGATCCACATAGCAGTCTTAGTGTCCCTGTGACCCTCAACAGGAGAATCTGTCAGGGCCCACAATTTTTTTTTTTTTTTAGATGGAGTTTTGCTCTTATTGCCCAGGCTGGAGTGCAGTGGTGTGATCTCAGTTCACTGTAACCTCCGCCTCCCAGGTTCAAGCAATTCTCCTGAAGTGCTGGGATTACAGGTATAATCCCACCTCAGCCTCCCAAGTAGCTGGGATTACAGGCACCTGCTACCACGCCCGGCTAATTTTGTATTTTTAGAAGAGATGGGGTTTCACCATGTTGGTCAGGCTGGTCTCAAACTCCTGACCTCAGGTGATCCGCTCACCTCAGCTTCCCAAAGTGCTGGGATTACAGGTGTGAGCCACTACTCCCAGCCAATAACACAATTTTTAAAACCTGGTGTGTCATAAGTTAAATCTAGACATACCTATATAGGCATACCATGCAGACATTGCAGGTTTGGTTCCAGACCACTGCAATAAAGTGAATACTGCAATAAAGTGAATATCGCAATAAAGTGAGTTACACACATTTTTTGGTTTCCCAGTGCATATTAAAGTTATGTTTATGGTTTACTGTGGTTTATTAAGCGTACAATAGCATATGTATAAAAAAAAGTACCTTCATTAAAAATATTTTATTGTTAAGAAATGCTAACAATTATCTGACTCTTCAGTGAGTCATAATCTTTTTTGCTGGTAGAGGGTCTTGTCTTGAGGTTCATGGCTGCTGACTGATCAGAATGGTGGTTACTGAAGGTTGGGGTGTGACAATTTCTTAAGATAGGACAACAATGAAGTCAGCTACATTGATTCTCTTTCATTCATGAAATATCTGTCCTTTATGCCATGCTATTTGATAGCATTTTACACACCATGGAATTTCTCTTTTTTTTTTTTTTT